TTCCGGGCTCCATATTTTGAGGATCGAAATACCAGTATAAGATACTAAAACAAAAGGAATTCTAAGCTAAAATACTACACATTACTACGCTACAAGGCTTTAAATTTTACTACGCTAAAAGGGTCTACGTTTTACTACGCTAAAAAGGTCTAGATTTTACTACGCTAAAAAATAATCTAAACTAAACATAAACAACAAATAAATTTAATTGCAAATAAAACACAAAACGGCATGAAAGCACATATATATAAATGAGAATATTAACAGACAAATTTATTTGACAAATTTATATTTTTATATAAAACAGTAAAATTAAATCCGGATAAATTTAAGATGCTAATTTCGAAAAAAAAACACAAACCGAAATAGAACACATACAAATCAAATAATATGCATTATTAGAAAAGTTTCAACTTAAAATAAATCGAAATACCTCGATTTAGAATTTTCGGAAAGCAAATAGATCGAAATTTTGACTCCGAAAGCGTGAATCAACAATAACAAGAAGCTCTACTCGAGTGTGGGACCTACGTTCTTCAAGTTTTATGTGCCGGGGGGACCCAATTTTTTTTTATAATGGCGGACAGTGGGGGGACCAGGTTTTTGGATAGGGACTAGAATAATGGTGAAGAAGAAGACGGGTGAAGAAGAGGGAGGGTTTTTTTGTTGAGGGATATAACGCCAGGTTTTCTGGCGTTATATATATTATTGTTACCCTTTTTTTTTTACACTTATTTGTGTCTTTTGAGTCCAAAATAACAACATTTTGGTTCCGGACTCAACTTTATTACGTATTTCTTTTTGTTCTCAAGACATATTAAAAACATCAGCTACAAGCATAAAAGATCAATCTATGTTACATTCAACTTATATCAGGTGATAAAGATTCCTTGCACCAAGTTTTGCTTACCATTTCCCAGGAAGAATAATTGTGGATAAAGAAAATGAATGAGAAAGAGGAGGAAGAAGGTGAAGTTTTGCCGCTGTGCTTATTTTTGCCCAAATTTTATATAAAGAGGAATTAACCGGTATAGTTGTCCATTCAACCGCTCAAACTAAAATCTTGGTTTAATATATATATATATATATATATATATATATATATATAAAAAGTCTTGTTTAATATGTATAATCAGCATATAATTTATATATACCTATGAGAAAAAGTAAACAATAAATGCGATATGCTATTTGTATAAAGACCCCTTTTGTAAAAAGGAGATATACTTTAAACACCGTCTCTCAAAATCGGGAAAGTGTCTTTCCTATTGGGAGTAGGAAAAATAAATTTCATAAGTTTGGTTAAGTCCCATCCCACCTAGAGGCGGATGTAGTGTATGCTCGACGGGTTTAATTAGGTTTAATTGAACCTATAATTTTCGACGCGGAGTAAATTTATATGTAAAAATTCATTAAAATTGTAAAAATAGTAGATATGAACCCATTATTCTAAAAATATAATGGGTTAATTGTTAAAAAAATTAAAAGTTGAACCCCTATGGTTTAAATCCGATCCGCATCTGCTCCCACCCCACTCCTCCCGCCTCCCGCCTCCAGGGGCAGATGCAACATAGAGCTACCGGGTTCAACTAAACAAAGTACTTTCTGCGCGGAGCATAATTTATGTTTAAAAATTACTTAAATTGTACAGTAATAAGAGTAGTAGATATGAACCCGTAACTTTGAAAATATAATGGATTCAATACTAAAACCTTTAATTGTTGAATGAACCTATAGAATTAAAATTCTAGATATGTCTCTGCCCGCCTCCACCTACCAACCACCCCTACCCTGGCCCCCTACCACTGGCCCTCGCCCTCGCTCTCGCCCCCAGCCCACTACCCCCTCTTCCACTTTCATTCCTTGTAGTGTTTACTTATGTTATAGTATATAAATGCTCTTGGAAGTTGGAACAATATTTTCTGTTTACTTACCAAATACAAAAAAATAAGTGAGAAAATCACTTAGATTTCTTTAGTACCAAACACCAGGGTGTGTTTGGTGTAGTGTTCCTCCACACTTGTCTTCTACGCCATTTTGTTCAAATGTTTTTAAAGTGCGGTAGCACAGGAAACGAAAGATGAGTTAAAAAAACCTCATATAGTACTAACAGAATTGATCGCTTTAAACATCATGAACTACCGGGAAAGATGACTAAAGTAAATTGTACTTCAGTAACAAACAACAATAACGACATACCTAGTATATTCTCACTTATAGGGTCTGGGGAGAGTAGAGTGTACGCAGACCTTACCCTACCTCGAAAAGGGTAGAGAGGCTGTTTCCGGGAGACTCTCGGTTCAACAAAAGGGATAATAATATCAGAAAAGAAACAAAAGAAAAGGCCTATAACAAAAAAGATGCCAGAATGAAAATAACAGCAACGAATAAGTGAAAGGACAATAACATAAAACTATACAAAACAACAATGTGAACACAACATAGACCGCTAACAAACCTAAACAAAACTCTATTAGACTACCTGGTACAAAGAGGGAAGAACTCTCGATTACCCCCTAGCCTACCACCTTAATGCCCGACCTCCACATGTTTCTATCAAGAGCCATGTCCTCGGAAATCTGAAGTCGCGCCATGTCCTACCTGATCACCTCGCCCCAATACTTCTTAGGCCGCCCTCTGCCTCTTCTCGTACCTGCCAAAACAAACCGCTCACACCTCCTAACTGGGGCATCTATAATTCTCCTCCGCACGTGCTCGAACCATCTAAGTCTCGCTTCCCGCATCTTGTCGTCCACAATTTAGGTGCCCGAACCACTTAAATTGTACTTCAGTAAGTAACAAGTAAAACGGAATCAATAAAGATGTTAATCAGTAGAGCTCTCCCAAAAATCCATAAAGGTAGTAATTAAGAGGGGATCCATGTCATTCAGATCATATTTCTGTACTTTACAGGTGGTCTAATAAACGAGTTAAAGTACCTAAGTGAAAATCAATTGTTGGAGAGATATTCCTAACATACATTTTAGGATAAACGTAATTCGTGCTTGTTTACTTTTTTTCTTCTTCTTCTCCTTATTGCTTGTTTCCATTAGTTAGTACGGGTAGGATTATAAGTGCAAAGATCATCCATGATCCATCCAAGGCCTTGATCAAACCCTAATATTAGTATTATTTAATTAACTACTACTATATGATAATATTACTAAAGTTATTTCAGAAAAGAACACCACAATCTGTTATTCCACGTGAGAGAGATGTAAAACAGACAAGTTCAGGACACGCATGAGATGATTACCTCAATGAAATAGACACTTGTTGACCAAAATTCTAAGAGCAATAAAGACTTAATAAGACAATTCTATAGGTTATATACTGTGTAACCAATACATACATTACTTCTTATGAGACAGAATGATTTACCCACTATCACAAAAATCCTTTCCCCTTAGAATTAAATGACCAAACCCAATATTAATTATAGGTACAATCAGCTCTTGATACTTGAGCTACCAAAAGTGACAAGAAGACCAAATATCGGTATTTCTATCTTTAATCAAATAAAGCTAAAATGTCTTCATTAATTATCTATTGACTTGTTAAGCTGGTACAAGTGAAAAGAAATTAAGGAAAAAGAACACAAAATCAACAATGCTCCAAAGATCAATGGTAAAAGGTACTTGGCAGTTTCTAAAAAAAAAAAAAAGGAATCCCAGTGTTTGTGATCCCTGGCTCGAGCCTTGACCGTGCGGTAATTCTTAAAACATTATATGAATTTAACTTACATACCCTGTAATATTATTTTACACGATTATATTTTGAACACATTTTCCTTGGTAGGGGCTAAGGTCTGCTGCGTATACACTATCCTCCCCGACTCAAGTATGGGAATACACTGGGTATGTTGTTGTTGTTGTATATATATTTTAACACATTTTAGTAGGTTATTTACTTTATTTTTTAAGTTTTCACATTATACTCAATATAGACAATTACCTGATTTTGTAAGTTACTTTTACCTAATGGTGCAATTTTTTTTTTTAACAGTATAAGTGCATAAAAAATAAATTCTTCCATTAAATATTCATAATCAATTCACGGTCTCTTAGAATATGGGTACCACAAAGCCTAGAAACCCATGGCATGTTGGTTCTATTTTGCCGTAGGCAACTCTAACTGCAGGGAGGTACAACACAGTACAATATATTTCCTTCGTACTGTCTGCTACCTAACTAGGTTCTAATAGTAACAAAAGGCAAAAAATCATAAATATTGCAAGTTGGTGCAGCCGAGAACTTTGGAACCATCATATATTAACTTTTCCGTACTTTAATTAACATTACAAAGGAAGTAACTTAGATTAATACTATAATTAACATTACCATGGTCCATAGGCACACCAAATTAGTACTACTAATTAGCATAAGACTAAATTAAAGATCCTATAAACTACTAAAACATTTAAGAGGAATTAGGAGATCTGCCAATGAAAGAGTTGAGACTGAGTTCAAGAGAAGCTCTGGCCGCAGCAGCCAAGTTATGATCATCTGAACGGTACCATTCTGTGTAGAATCCGCCTGAAGATTCATGTTTGATGTTGCAGAAACTGGAGATGTTCTCTTCATGCATGGGAAAAAGTGGGAGAGTTTCTAAAGCAGAGGCTCTTTGGTAATTTTCTTCTTCTTGTTGCAGTTCCTCATAATCGTCTACTAGGGTTTCATCAAAATGTTTAGTCTTTTCAAGAAAAGGATAAGCTTGATGAGAAGTGTAGGGATCAACTCCAACCCATGTAATGTTTTGATGACCCATTGATCCGTTGGAGTTACCACCTGGTGATATTGAACAGTCCTGTTTTTGAACCACTAAAATTAGTTAGAAATTCAATTTCTTCTTCTTCTTCTTTTTTAAGTTAGTATATACTATTATAAGGAAATTTGCATATGACAAGCTCAATTTGTTTTTAAAAAAAATTGCACCTTTTCTTTTGTGTCTCAAAGAAAGTATTATCCTACTGCTAATAACTTGAAATATCTCTTCCATTTGTGTTATTAGAGTTGGTTTAAGGGGAAAATAAAGAGGAAGTAAAAAGAAAAGGGTGTTTAGTTCTTTATAGAAGAAACTCGCAAGTTTGGGAAAATTGTTGTCTTGATTATGGGATTATGTCCTTTTTTTCCTTCATTTCATGTGTACAAGCACGAAACTTGGTGAAAAAAAGAGTAAACATAAGCAACATAGACTATTTATCCCAATATTGGTGGATTGTCATGATAGCTTGAAACTGGTCCAAAAGATTTTTTTTGGGCTTAAGTAGTTTCCTTTTTAACTTATTAACAAAGGAATTTACACCAAACTTACCCTAAAGCTCTTTTCCATAGCTAAAGTTCCATAACCATAGTTTCCATTCTGTCCAACTGCTAGTACACCATGAGAAGAAGCTGATGGACAGTGAATACCTGTATATGAAACAAGTCCTTAGAACCATTCATAATAAAGTTCAAATTTTTGTGAAATGTTAGTACATAATATATAGTAACAGAAGTTAACTTCTTACAAAAAAGAAAGGCATAAAATTATCTTTTTCTTTTGTCTTCCATGATATTTTGACCAGTAAATTACCTGTAGTGTTGTTATACTTGTGGTGAATAGGATCATCAGCAGATCTCCAAACACCTCTCATTTGCATGGGAATATTATTGTTGCTATCAGTAGCAGCAGCAGCAATAAGCCTCTTCTTTTGCCTTTCACGAGCTTTATGGTTCTGAAACCAATAAAACACATTCTTGCCTTCAATCTTACCGTACTGTCTTAACTTAGCAGAGATCCTCTGAATCTGTTCAGCAGTTGGAGACCTAACTCCATTGTTGTAGTAAAGATCCTTCAATATTCTTATCTGGTCAGTTGTGGGTGTCCACCTCGTACTACTTTGCCTGCACATGAAACTGCTGCTGTTGTTTTTGCTACTATTACCACCAACACCATCTTCAATGTTGTTTGCCACCTGACCAATTGATAAATGTTGTTGGTGAAGATAGTGCTGCTGGTTTTGTTGTTGAGCAGCTTCCATAGTGTATAGAAAGTAGTACTAAAACAAGAAGAGAACAAAGGGATGTAGACAAAAAAAAACAGATAAAAGTGAAGAATGTGGCTATAGGCTAGGTAGGTAAAGACTGAAGACTGAAGAGTGAGGAGTTACATGGAGAGAATGAGAGAATTATAAAGAAAGTTTTGGTTTGGTTGGGGGGGGGGGGGTAGGGAGGGGGGTAGGAGGGGCACATGGAAAGGAAATCAGAGGGATATCTGGGAGAGAAGGACTGAAATTGACAGAGCAAAGAGTTAAGAAAAAAAGTATGGGACAAAAGAGGGGCTAGAAAAAGGTGGAATTCAGAGGAGTTTGCTTGGATGAAAAGGCAATGACAAGTTATGATTATTAAGTGGAGATATGGGAAAGAAAAAAGTGTGCTTTATGAGAAGACAGAAGAGAAAGTATTAGAGCTTCTTTTCAATGAATGAATGAATGGATGTTGTTACAAAATGTTACTTACTACTATCTAGTATTTGCTCTTGTGATTTTTAGACTTCATTTAGGGGAATTCTTCTTTATGTGGGAGATATGACCTCTTTGTCTCTGGTTAAATATGCCAGAAATTTAGGATATTCTTTGTACTCTAGTACTTACAAAAAAGGTTACTAGGGTAAAGTTGTAAATGTGCTAGTAAAAGGTGAGGAGGAGCTAGTAATACAAATATTCCCATATATAAATACAGAGAAAAATTCAAAAGTATACTAATTTGCAAATGATGTGTGGTCATTTGGATATAAATGCAGCTGCTATTGGGAGGGTATTATTAAAGCCACATTCTCAGAAGTAGCATTAATGTCAGAGTTTTCTGCTAGTTGAAGCAGTTGCAAATATCCAACAGATCATTAGTGAACTTCTTTGGTTCTTCAGCAGTAGTAATAATATAGGATACCATGCATTTCCCAGTTTTTAGTTTTTCTCTTCTTTTTTTCTTTATTTGAGATCAAGCATTAGCAAATGGACATGGGAAATATTATTATTGTTCACACCGCTAAGAAATAGTACTATAATTCTTCAGCAGATTTTGATAGGTAAAAAAATATAGAAGATAATTCCCTGTCCCTCATCCACCCATCAGTAGGTACTCCGCCAAAAGAAAGGATTTACAGTAACTTATAGGACTAGTATATTCTATTTTAGTCTATTATAACATGTTATAGTATGTTATTTGTCTTTTTTTTTTTTTTTAAGATACTAATTCCGATTACCTAAATTATTATATATAATTATCTTTTAGGTGAATTTGAGTATGTTTGGCAAAGCTTATAATAGACTTATAAGCACTTTTTTATTATGTGTTTGATAAGCGCTAAAAATATATATAAACCAAAATCAGCTAAATTTCATAAGTTGGTCACCTCTCATATGATTTTTGCATCTTATAAGCATTTTTGGTTTGATCAAATTGTAATCTTTGAAATACTCTACCTAAAACATAACTCCCGATTTTCTCTCTATTCAATTTCCATTATTAGTCATTTTCATGTAAAAAGACTAGGAATTTAGCTTTTATAAGTAACTTCAAGAATATTTCAGTTATTTCAACAAAAAAGTACTACGTACCTTTTTATCAAACACAATGATTGCTTATTATCAAAACACTTTTATCCTAACACGTAACTATTTAATTATAAATTTAGTTTGAACAAGTAAAAGTGATTTTCAGTACCCAAAATGAGCTCTTTATTATAATGTAAAAATAATTATTTATCGTCTCTGCATAAAAGTTAACTCTAAAGAAATCCTATACAATAGCTATTAAAAAGTAGTATTATGTACGATTTAGTAAATATCATCATATTCCGATGGAGCGTCTAAGCAAATTTGTTAACCGATCTTTGTGTATTTTTCTCTCATTTGAATAGCACCATTGTTTGCTCAAAAGTTATCACATACCTTATGAGTATAAAACAATATAAATAAATCACAGGAAAATCATAGCAAACCGTAATAATCCGTTGGACCAAATGAAGGAAACGAAAATAAGTACTCAGGATTAGGGGGAGAAACATTAGAAGCCTTTATTGATAATATTGGTTTGGTCTGCCTCTCCATGAAGAGGTTCAGAGCCTTACAATGGTGTTCCTTTTGCCCATAATATGGGTCTCATCTCTTTTTTTTCTCTCAATAGTAAAGAAGAAGAAGCCCCCCTTTCTAAGGTTTCCTCTCTTGGTATTTATAGCTGTGAGCTTCGTGAGCTGGCAATAAGTGGCCGTGACCACGTTGGGATTTCGCCTTCATGGTGGCGGATGGGCCATGGCCTTGCTGATCGAATCAGATGCGGGTTGAATATCGTTAATTCTGAGTGGTCGTGCCACTAATTAATCATGAATTAGCTTAAAGATGGGATTAGCTTCGTTAATTATCGTGGGGTCGGATTCTAACCCATACAGTTAGTCCCTCCGCTTATTGAGGTCGGGCCTTGGCCGAGCTCGATGAGTGGATTCCATCGACTATAGTTTGAGAAACTCGGACGGGGAGGTCGACTGTTGCTTCGGTCGAGGCCGAATTCTCTTTGGCGATGGCCCTTAGCCTTGTAGAGTATTAGTATTCTGTTATTGTGCTATCAAGTCATCGTTCGATCGAAGTCGAACTCTCCTCCTTGGCGAAGGCGCTTGACCTTTTAACTTACTTCGAGTGAGGTCGAGCTTCATTGTGCTCTGATCCTTACGTTTGTTCTTTTATCTTAATCGTTGTCTTTGCTTTGCAGTCTTATTTGTTGGAGGTGGAGAGCATCCGTCGAGCCAACGTCCGCTCGGGGATATTTTTGCGGCGCTGGAGAAGTATCACCGCTACCGAGATCGGTGCCGAGAGATGCGCGTGCGCTTGAGGAATGATCCTCGTAGTCGGACCTTGGTCGAGGAACTGGCGCGGCGGGAGGTACAGATGCAGCAAGCACTTGGCAGAGCGAGTGCTCTCGAGGAGCAACTCCGGCGGAAGGATGAGGAGCTCGAGGCGGAGAGGAGGGCTGCAGCTGAGTGTGAGCGCCAGGGCCAGGCTAAGGCGGCGGAGGCCGCTGCGGCATGGGGCGGGAAAGTGACTGCGTTGGAGGGTGAAGTCGCGGTATTGAAGCTTCAGGTGAGGGATGCCTCGTCCAGGGCTGGGGCGTTGACGGAAGCTATCCGCGTGCACGAATCCCAACTGGCATTGGAGAGGGCTACTGCGGCCTTTAGAGAAGCGAGTCTCGAGGAGCGGATCGGTGTCTTTGAGCAGGACGCCCAAGTTATGGCGGACCGGATCACAGCCTTAGAAGAAGAGAATCAACTCCTACGGGATCAAGCCGCTTCTTCCAGCCAGGCTCGAGAACTTTGGGTCTTTGCCGAGGCCCAACGTGATGTATATAAGAATTTGTGGGAGGCCGGCATCGTGACCGAAGCTGCTTTCGAGGGAGCGCGTCAAAAGGCTCGTGAGGCCCGTACGGACTGTGGTTTTGACGCGGCGACGCCAGAGGCTGACGCTGGTGCATATGGTGGCGCGGATGGCGCCGATTAAAAAGATATGCATTTTTTCTTGTTTTTCTTTTCTCTTTCCTTGTATTGATCGGCCTTGGCCGGGTGTAAGCGGGGAAGACCCGCAATTAACTTTGTAGATAAATGAGATCTCCTTTTCGTTATTTGCCTTGTGTTTATTTTGTACCTCCCCTTTTTCCCCTTTAGATTTTTCTTTGCATGCGTTTGAAGGGGTGATTTACCTTTGAGTTTGACTCTGGTAGGCATGTTAGTTTTTGATTGTTGACGACTTTTCTTCTTCGACTCGGGTGAGCGAGTCGGAGCCGTTGCCTGGCGATAGCGGCACTTAGCCTTTAGTCTTAGTCCCAGTTCGGGCGCGGTCGAACTACCGACCGTGATGATAAAAAATGCGGCCTTGTAGTTTGACCGGGGCCGGACTTTACGTGCCCCCAATCTTAGTTTGAGTTGGGAGTGCTTACTTGAAGGGCGAGGGTTTCTAACCTGCGCCTCGATTCGTTGGAGGTTGGATTTTGCCGAGTTCAACGATGAAGGCGCTTGGTTCGAGTCCCGGTTCGACTATGGTTGAACTAGTTGATTTGAGGATGAAGGCGTCTAGCCTTATGGTTCGAGCGAGGTCGAACTCGTTGGATTTGATGGCGAAGGCGCGTAGCCTGAGTCCCAGTTCAACTGTTGTTGAACTTAGTCCATTTTGATGGCGAAGGCGCATAGCCTGAGTCCCAGTTCAACTGTTGTTGAACTTAGTGGCGAAGGCGCATAGTCTTGATTCAATGGCGAAGGCGCATAGCCTGAGTCCCAGTTCAACTGTTGTTGAACTTTGTCAATTTTGATGGCGAAGGCGCATAGCCTTGATTTAATGACGAAGGCGCATAGCGTGAGTCTTGGTTCAACCGTAGTTGAACTTCTTGGCGAAGGCACATTTTGATTGCGAAGGCGCATAGCCTGAGTCTTGGTTTAACCGTAGTTGAACTTCTTGGCGAAGGCGCATAGCCTTTATTTAATGGCGAAGGCGCATAGCCTGAGTCTTGGTTCAACCGTAGTTGAACTTCTTGGCGAAGGCGCATAGCCTTGATTTAATGACGAAGGCGCATAGCCTGAGTCTTGGTTCAACCGTAGTTGAACTTACTGGCGAAGGCGCATAGCCTGAGTCTTGGTTCAACCGTAGTTGAACTTCTTGGCGAAGGCGCATAGCCTTGATTTAATGACGAAGGCGCTTAGCCTGAGTTTTGGTTCAACCATAGTTGAACTTACTGGCGAAGGCGCATAGCCTTGATTTAATGGCGAAGGCGCATAGCCTGAGTCCCAGTTCAACTGTTGTTGAACTTTGTCGATCTTGATGGCGAAGGCTCATGGTCTGAGTCCCAGTTCAACTGTTGTTGAACTTAGTCCATTTTGATGGCGAAGGCGCATAGCCTGAGTCCCAGTTCAACTGTTGTTGAACTTACTCGGCGAAGGCGCATAACCTTGATTTAATGACGAAGGCGCATAGCGTGAGTCTTGGTTCAACCGTAGTTGAACTTCTTGGCGAAGGCACATAGCCTTGATTTAATGACGAAGGCGCTTAGCCTGAGTCTTGGTTCAACCGTAGTTGAACTTACTGGCGAAGGCGCATAGCC